TACGCACAAAGCTCAGTGAAAGGAACTGAGGAGAGTACTGGCTAAGACAATTTAGCTTCTGACCAAATTAGGTAATTAAGATACAACTAAAACTAACCAAGAATATGAGGGGTACTGCATTACAAGCTCCAAGGTATTTTAGAAAGAAGCTTTTGATCTAACTAGGTAGGTAAGATACATGTTAGTGTGACTTACCAAGAACATGAGGGGTATCAGCAATAAATGTCACAAAATTTTAGAAGAAAGAGATTTACTACTGCTAAATCAGGAGAGACTTTACAGTGGGCAATGAGCTGGGCCTTGAAGGGTAAAAGAGACTATATAGTTAAACAGCCTAAGAGGAAAAAAAAGGACAAAAGTATGGGAACAAAGGTGCTGAACTGGGATTGTGGTCATTAAATATTTATTGAATACCTATTACATGTCAGTCACTGTGTCAGATACAAGTTATAAACTGGTGAACAAAATAGGTGAGCTCCCAGCTCCTGTGAAGTCTGGTGGGTAAGACAGATAATTATCATGCAAGCAGATATATCATTTTAAGTTATAATAGGTGCTATGAAGGGAGTCAACAGACTCCAATAAAAGGAATAATGGGAAAGGACTAGCAAGATAAGATGATGGGGGTAAGTATCTCTGATAAATAAGCTGAGGCTTAGAGGAGGCAGCCAGCAAAAAGCAGGGGAAAGAATGTTCAAGGATGAGAGAGCCAGAAGCATAAAGGGCCTGAGGTAGAACTTAAGTTTAAAAATAAATAGGAAGCACAATAGCCAAGAAATGGAAGCAACCTAAGTGTCCATCAGTAGATGAATGGATAAAGAAGATATAGTACGTATACACAATGGAATATTATTCAGCCATAAGAAGAAAACAAATCATACCATTTGCAACAACATGGATGGAGCTGGAAGATATTATGCTCAGTGAAATAAATCAGGCAGAGAAAGACAAGTATCAAATGATTTCACTCATCTGTAGAGTATAAGAGCAAAGAAAAAACTGAAGGAACAAAACAGCAGCAGACTCACAGAACCCAAGAATAGACTAACAGTTACCAAAGGGAAAGGAATTGAGGAGGATGGGTGGGAAGGGAGAGATAAGGAGGAAAAAGGGGCATCACGATTAGCACGTATAATGTAGGGGGAGGGAGACATGGGGAAGGGAGTATAACACAGAGAAGACAAGTCGTGATTCTATAGCATCATACTACACTGATGGACAGTGACTGTAATGGGGTATGTGGTGGGGACTTGATAATAGGGGAGTCTAGTAACCATAATGTTCATGTGATTGTACATTAATGATAGCAAAATAAATAAATAAATACATACATACATACATAAATAAATAAGAAGCTAGTGTGACTGAAGCACAACGGACAATGAGACCGGCATAAGATGAAGTTGGAAAGGTAGGCAGGGGCCAGGTTATACAAGGATTTATGGGCCAAGATAAAGAGTTTAAATATGGGTTTTATTCTAAGACCAGAAGAAAACCGTTAAAAGTTTTTGTATACTCACAAACATACTGTTGAATAAAAGAAGCCACATCCAAAAGTATGGGTGTATGATTCCATTTTTACAAAAGTACAAAATAGACAAAACTAAACTATGCTGTTAGAAGTCACCCTATCAAGTGAAAGGGTGGCAGGAACAGAAAGGGAACTCAATTGAGGGGGTTCTAGGTACTTGTAACAGTTTCTTGATCTGGGTGCTGGTTACAAGGGTATATCTATATACTTTAAAAAAAGGTTGTGATAATTTTTTAATATTATTCAAACTTTTAATAATGTTTTTAAAATATTACTCTGTCCAGATGGGCATACACATGCCAGAGAGGAGCACATACAATTATGAAAGGTCTTGATTGACAGATTAACCTGATAGAAACTGTCAGATACATATAAAATAAGGGAGGGGTAAGTCAAACAGCCAGTGAATACAAAGTACCCTGTTTATAAAGAATAAATGTTGAGTCTGGGAAGGGAATATGCAATAAAGGATGAGCTATGAATTTCTTAGAATGTAAGGAAGTATCTCTAGAAATTAAGAAAGGAATAGATGAAAACAGCAATGCCTAAAAAGATTAGCAATGCTCATTATCTTTTGGCTTATATTTTAATATGCTATTTTTAAGTTCTTCCTTTGCTTCCACAAACCCAGTACACTAGAAAGTAAAATGAAACAAAGATCCCAAACTTGAGCATCAATCATATCTGAGCTCAAATCAATGCTCTGCCCCTCACTAGCGCTGCAATAACTGCTCTGAGCTCAGCTCCCTCATGTATAAAGCAGATAATAATGACTACCTCTTAGAGTTATTATTTTCTCCCTGTCATCACCCAAAATGTTGAGTTGGTAGACTGGTATTTTAATTTAATTACTATTTCCTAACAGTATATGGAAAGCTGATGGTTGATGAGTTTCTGTTCTCAAGATTCAGAGGTGGGAGTAGGATTATAAATGGTAAACATATAGAAATAGAATGGATAAGGAGAAACAAGGAGTAAGATGTAAAAACGAGGCTTCTTCTAACAGCTCAGTAACAGAGGTTTCAAGCATTTTCTAAGACAGAGACTTGAGCTAAAAAACCAGACTACAACAGGTTTATGAAAAGGAAAAAATAATCTTATGTCTTCCCAGCAAGACACACTTTCTACCTAATGTATGCCCTTTATGGAATATTAGCTAAAACAAGATAGACAGAAACACAAAGAATATTCTGTCACAGGTGGAAGGCCTTCAATCATTTTATTGTATCCCCGCCCTTAAGAATTATTTGAACAACCATAATGTGTAAAGCACATCTTAAGTATAGCCAAAGACATTAAGTTTTATATTTCAGGAGATACCATTTCAAAAAGAAAACCAAAAAGTACAACTCCTTAACAAATTTTTGGCTAATTTTTCCCCCACAATGTATCCCCTGTCCTAAAAGTAACGAAAACCCAGTTCCTCACAACTTTATCTTTCCCCTGATCTTATAAGTGTTCCCATCTCTGCCTCTCTTATTCTTCCCATGCTTCTTACCATTAAATACCTAAGGTTTTCCTATTTCCTATGAAGTTGCACACCGATTCTCTCGTATTCACTCTGATCTCACCAGTCTGAATCTGAACACAGAAACTTCACAACATTCCCAGGAATCAGTCTGCTAACCAATACCAAAAAAGATAATGATAATGCACAGTTTAAACAAATGATGACAGATGCGGTGATTACATGACTGTACATATTTGTCAAAGCTCATCAAACTGTACACTTAAAATTGGTGAAATTTATTGTAAACTACACTTGAATAAAGCTGATTTTTTTAAAAAGAATGTATGCATTCATTCATTCAGCAAATATTAACTGAGCATCTATGATATGCATCAAAGTTCATACCAAATCTTTCAGCTTGACTATCTAGGTTCTACCTGTATGTAACGTGCTTTACTCACAAGCTGATACTGACCCAAAAAAGCTGTCTTATATGAAAAATAATTCAGTTTCTGGCCATGAATGTCACCTTAATGATGCCCTCAACAGTGGAAAGACATTAGCTACCCAATCATCTTTCATTACATAAACGAAATCTATGATCACCCAGGTACTCTTTATCTTAGCACAAATGCTTTCATCATAAGAAAAAAAGTATTAAGCATATATTGCATACAGGACATACCACTACCACAACTTTATAAGTTTGTCTTTCTATCGAAAACCTACAACATCTCAAAAGCATACTGATAACACTGCTGGAAGAAAAGGAGGCAACATTATTGGGGAATAGACTTAATTGACTTATTCTAGGATTCACAGTGACCCAGTGGCTGAGTTAAAGGTCTAGATACTAACACAGCATGCATAGCAAAGATAAGCATGGACCTTAGAAACAAACTTGGGTTTGAATTCCAGCTCCACTTCTTCCCTGTTGTATGCATAAACTTGGGGAACATCACTTTACCTGCTGACCCCCAGCTTACTCATCTGTGAAACAAGGATGCCAGCTACCACTTCACAGCATTATTGTGAAAATGATACAAGATATATACTACCTTGCACAATTACTGGGCACAAGGTAGGCAACTGCACAGTATTAGTGCCCTTTCTTAGTCTTATATTACAAAGAGTAAGAAAACACCTGTTAAGGCTAATTCACAATCCCTATAAGAAATGACAGGACAACAATGAATTTGTACTTGCTGCCTTCATACTCTAATCAACTCCTTTCCCCAACCCCCTATTTCCAGTTTTTCAAACGTTAAGTTACTATGTTTAGAAAAGTGATTTAATTTTAGAAACCTGGGAAATTCTTCTGAGTAAATTAAGCAAAACGTTAATCTGCCCCAAGGGGAATTCTGAGCAAAAGAATTATTTCTGACGAGAAGAATTTTCTATGAGGTTATTCAATTTAACCACACGAATGCCATCAAAGCTGCACACAAAGTGACAGAAAGCAATCTGGAACATACTGTACAGATTCTCCAAAGGGAAATATCCTCTTAAAACCCAAACCCCTCCCTCCCTAATCTGAGGTAGTAAAATCTTACTAGGTGATCTGAATTCCACCGGCTCTGACAGTAGGCCAGCTCCTTAGAGCAGAACTTGCAGCAGTTTGTACAATGTCCTGAACAAATCCCACCTCAAAAAATATCCCCAAAAGGCAGGGAGGTCCAGAAAGGACTTTCTACTCAATCAACAGATAAGGGACCAGGAGCTCAGAAGCACAATTATTTTCCCAAGGTCATTCAAGTCAAAAAAGGTGCGACAGAGAATGTGCACGCAATCTGGCTTTCCAGAGAAAACACTGCAGAATTTTTGGGGGGTGCCTATTCTCCTCCCCTCTCCCACCCTCAAGTGTGAGCACCAGTCTCGGCATTTCCGAAACAGGCCACAACAAGCTCTGCACTGTTAGGAAAGGGGCTGACGCGGTGAAGAAACAGATGCTCCAAAGCAAGATGGTCTTTCTCGGCTCGCAGAGCCTCCTCCAAGGTTATTAACAGAAACCGCAGGCACCTCGGAGAGGTCTCAGGCGGGCTCCGAACCGCCAGCGCGGCCGCTCCGGGACGCCGGCTTCCCTGCAGGCAGCCTGCAGGCAGCCTCCGCGACCAGAGGCCACCGGCCCAGAAACCGCACTTCATTCCTGCGCTTCGGGAAGCCATGGCTCCTTCCCGGCCCGAGCAGGGGTGGGGGTGCGCAGGAGGCGGGCCGCGCGCGCTGCGGAAAGTTCACCGAGCCGGCGGGCGGGGGGCGGCCCCGGCCAGGCTCACCGCGTCCCCCTGCAGATTCCACCATTAATTAGTCCTAAGGACTGTCTACTGGCAACTTAAACAAAGCGAATGCCTCGAATTCCTTCCCGGCCCAGCGGTCTGGCTGCGAGACCAGCATCCGCCGGGACGCGGGCCGGCGCGGCGGGCCGACAGCTGCGGCGACGGCGGGACCCCTCCTCGCCCGGCCCGCGCCCCAGCAGCCCGCTCCCGCAGCCGGTCCCGCACACCGGCCCGAGCGCTCCCCAACCTCCCTCCGCCTCCTCGGGAGCTCCCGGGCTCTTCCTGTAAGATCACTTCCTTCCTCCCCGGGTGCCCGCGGGCCCCGCGCAGCCCCCTCCCCGGCGGTCCCGGCCCCCTGCCCGGCCGCGCCGCTCCCCGCCCCCACCGGGCCCCGCGCGCCCTCCCCCAGCCCCAAACTCGACCTCAAAACTCTCCCCGCCCTCCCAAAGGTCCCCTCAGCTCTCTGCCCCAAACATTTCTCCTCACATTCTCGCTCCCACCAAGAAGTCTCTCAGATCCTTCCCTCCCCCTCCAAAAGAAAAATCTCCAACTCCAAAAAAATTCCCAAGGTCTCGCCCCAAAACATCTCCCCTTCCAAGCCCTTTCTCCAAAATTCCGCTCAAACTCTGCCCCCACCTCAACTCCCCACACACGCACCCCAACTGCTCCGGGGTGCGCCCGCCGGTTCTGCCTCGTCGCCCCTGGGTGCCCCGGCCCCTCGGCGCGGCAGACCAAGCACTCCGGGCACCCTCCTCTCCCCCTGCCTTCCTGCCCGCCCACCCCGGCCTCCCGCGCCGCTCTCCCGCCGCCTCCCCGCGGTCCCCTCACCTCGGCAGCTCCAGCCCGCGCTCCCGCCCGCTGAGGGATCCGGTGCTCCGCTCCCGGCGGCCGGCGCCTCCTCCGGCTCCCCGGGACTGACAATGAGGGGCGGGGCTTGCTGGTGACGCAAGTGTTCTGGGGCGGGGCCTTGGAGGGGAGGGGCTTGTCCGCAGCCCCGCCCCCTTTGCGCTTGTCCCCTTCCTGGGACTTGGACTCTGCCAAGTTTTTATTGCCTGCCTAGCTAAGCGCCCAGAGTCTGTGCTAGGCGCGGTGGAAAATCTAAATGGAAGAAAAGACGTCCTGCTTTCAAGAGGGGCACTCTCGGGGGGTTTGCGAGGATTAACTGAGATAATCCATGTAAAGGTATTTAGCCCAGGGCCTGGTATGGAGTAATCACTCAACAAATACTACTTATGTTACTCAGCAAATGCGGAAAAGGAACTCAGCTTGGACCCAGGAGGCGTGGGTTCCAGTCCCCAGCTCTGCTATTAATTCATTGTGTGATCCTAGACAAGTCTTTTGCTATCTATGTTCCCCACTTTCACTTTCTTTAAAATGGGGAGGGTCAATGACCAGATGATCTCAAAAGTCCCTCTAACAATTCTAATACATAGTTCCTGTAGACCTACTATGTGTGGGGTCCACAGAAGTGGGGAGGAGGTCTCTGAGGGGAAACCAAGACCCTCAGCCAGAGACACCCTTTCCTACAGATGCCTTCCCACATACTAACACAAAGCTGTATTCACAAGCCAGGGCACAGATGAACTGAGGGCTGCTTCCTCTCTGACTGCAGCATAGCTGGTCTCTTGAGAGATCTCTTGTGTAAGCTCCTTATTGCCTATGGAATAAAGGCCAAAGTCCTGGCTTGGTCTGATCTCCTCCTACCTTTAAACACACACACACATGCATGCACGTGTGCACGCACACACACACACTGTAAAGTTTATCCAAACTTCCCCTAGCACACCCACTGCTTTCCCACATCTGCCCCTTGCTCATGCTCTTCCTTTGCTTTCTCATCTCAGTTTACAACTCCTAATTTCTCCCAGCCAGAAGCCAACTCTCCCTCCTTAGAACACCAGTGGCATTGTGTTTAACTCTGATGTGAGCACAAACACGTTTTAACTTGTATCACATTGACCTTCCATTTGTTTCTTAGCACTTTCTCACTTCCTGAAGGTCAGAACTCACACATGTTTGTGGAGCTTAGGTTCTGATGCCAGAAAACCCTGGGATTATGTGCCCATGTTCTGGCCCATCCTAGCTGTCTTTGAGCCTCATTCTCCTCATCTGTGAAGTGGGGATGTTAATGTAGTTCTTGTAATGTTTTAAAATTATATAAGACACCATGTGGAAAGGACCAGGCAGTGTTCCACAAACAACATAGCTATCATTCTTATTTTCATTATTATTATCGATATTATTTCTATCTCCTAACATCCTGTGCCTCCCCAGTGATAATCCACCCAATCATTTAATAGTAGAAGACTTTGAGGTCCTGAGAGAAGGAAGAAGCTCACTGAAAGCAGCCCTGCAGAGCAATGCCACCAGAACAGGAGCCACCACTCCAGCGCTGAGACCCCAAGCAGATTCTGCAAAGTCACATGTGATGCCCCAAGGTGTCTCTGTCACTTGGCACTCCTACAAGCTGAGGACAGCTTCAAGTTCTCTCTGCAAGATTTTTGCAGTAGATGCTGACCCTTTTCTCTCTCATGCCTTTCTCCTCTCACTTTCATTAATGAGAGATGGATCTGTGTTAAACTGCCCTTGGCATCTTCACAGTCCTCTAGGAGAGCTGCAGCAAGGCCACTGGGCGTTTCCTGAATGCTGGCCTGTGGGAAGAGGGAAAGGGTTTGGGGTTCTGATTAATTTCCTGCACTGCAGACAGGCAAATGGCTATTCTGAAATGCCTGAGCTGGTCCTCAAGGGCCCCTAACAAATTGTGGATTATTTTTAGAATAGGAGATTCAAAAATGCCACTTCCCATAAATGTAGGCATGGCCACAGAATTGCTGCAGGCAAAGAAAGGGCCTTTTCTGAGTCCCTCCTATGTGCTGATGCTGATTCCAAGCATTACAAACCCCTGGAAGAGAGAACCCGGTACATACAGGGGAGTTTCTGAAGACAGAACTTTCTCCCTGGGACCCATGACTCCGTCAACCACTTATTCATTCATTCACAGCAAAAGCTTTGGCACAGGACAAATCAGGATTCAAATCTAAGCTCCACCACTTACCAGATGCATGACTTTGGGCTTTCAAGTTTCTGCACCTCAGTTTCTCATCTGAAAAAAATGGGGATATTAATGGTACCTGTCTCATACAGTGACTGTGAGGATTAAATGAAATAAACATATGAAAGAGATTAGTTCACAGGCTGCACCTGGTTCATGCCAGGATATGGTGACTGCTGCTACTATGTCAGCATGTCCTCCCAGTAAGACTCCTCATGTGCTGGCTTCTGGGCCAGGAGTGGGGCTAATAGTGCTGACCTCAAGAATCTCAGTTGGCAAAAGGAATGTGGTAGATCTTCAGTTCTAGATACTTCTGCCATAAGCATCTTTGCAGTAGACATCTCTGCTGCCAGCATTTTTGTTGCATAACTAATTGGCCATAAGGCAATTTTGCTGTAAAAGATTAAAAAATAACTGGTTGACAGTTTGGTTTCATTTCTCCATTGACTCAGTATGCCTATTTATATATTATATAAATCTTAGCCCTCGTGGTCAATATGGTGGCACAGTTTTGATCCCTCATTTCCCATAGACCTTTGGAACATCTATCAGTGAAGATGTGACAATATGCCAAGAACAAACAGCAGTGTAAAAGCCTTCACAGAGCAAGACAAAGCTCAGTTACAAATACACATCCGAGGATTTGGAAACTGAGACCTCTCTTAATGAAGAAGAGACTATAATGAAAAAGAAAAAGTGTGATGCTGAACGAGGGGATAAATCAACAAGGAATAAAAATGCACACTATGAATGAAAGACTTTGAAGACAAATGCTTAGGGTACAATCCACAAATAAAATCAGTTATTTGTGCAATCCTGCCATGAATCTATATATATTTTAAGTGGATTCAAATGTTTTGTATTTCACAACAAAGTCTTTTTAATTTTGTTATTAATTTCCATGTTTCATTACATCTTTTTTAATGAAAATTCCTCTTTTAGTTCTTGTGATTTTATCTTTCATAACAAAATCGCCTTATGGCCCATGAGTTACATACAAAAATGTTTGCAGCTCAAGTGCTTGTAGTAAAGATGCTTACAGTGAAAATACCCAACACCAGATTTTCATAAATAGGCAAGAAAAGGTGTCTACTGGATATTGTTAAATGAAAAGATAAGTTGCAGAAATACAGGTGTAGTAGGATCCCATGGTTTAATTGATAATATACTTACTATATGCATTAAAAAATGGAGGATATAGAGAACTAATATAAGGCTTCCACCTTTTTGTCCTTTTAGATTTGGTTTTCTGTGTGTGCATGCATATGTGTGTGTGTGTGTGTGTGTGTGTGTGTGTGTGTGTAGCAGAAACTTTAAGAAAAGACTATAAATTGCTAAGAGGGAAGGGAAAGGGATGAAAACACAGCTACAAGGCCTATCTGCGGCAGTGGGTACCAAACGAACAGTACAGACTGACACAGAAAGTGGCATCTATTCTTATCCCCCATTCACACATGTAGAATAGGTTCCATCTCTTCTTCAAGGCAGTTCAGAAAAAGCCCTCGCCAGACAATTCTCATCTTCTTCCCTTCACTCCACAAGCTCTTAGCAGCGCTTGAACTTTCAATGCTATAGCCAAAGGCAAGATTCCTAACAGAATTCCCAGGCACCCTAGAAAGGCCAGTAGGAGAGATTTTTAAGCCGGAAGGATTTTTTTTTTCTGCTCCCAGTCCTGTGCCCCTCCCTGACCTCCCAAAGACTAACAACGTCAGTATCTTATATCTACTGAGCCTAAACTTGCACTTTCGTTTTTCCTCATTATATCTTTCTGCAATTTAGATATTTTACAAGGAGCTTATATTACTTGGTCACCAGAAAAAAAGCAGTAAAAATATGTACAAAAAGAAAGTTAACCAAGCCTGGGATTGGTATACTTTTTGTTGGTTTGCAAACAGTAAGTTATAACAATGTGGCTGAGGCCAGTGCCAAGTTTCATCAGAATCATAGAAAGTAAGAATGGGAAGGGATAAAATCACCTTCAGTTTCTCCCACCATCACCTAATAGTATGATTTTAAGTTCCCTCATAATTCAGGTCACCCATCAATACATGTATTTCATTCATTCATTCAACAAACACTTCTGGATTTGTTACTACAAATTAAGCATCATACGTGTTATTTTATACATACTATCTCATATAGGTAGGGGGGTTATTATTCCCATCTTGCA